CATGTGCTTGCAGCTCCTGGCAATGCTTGTAATCGCCCTTAGTTGATTTGCATGTCACATTTTAAGCACTAGAGATGAGCGCAGAAGTGGCCTCCAGGATGGAATCCTTTTGAAAACACTGTATATCATGGCAGTGGGGATAGATGAAGCAGTTCTCTGACAATACAACAGCAAGAAGAAAGTTCCCTCCAGTAGTTCTACTGCTTCTATTCCATAGATCAAGTACCAATTTGAACAATGATAACTTCACTTAATCCAATACAGTTGCACTGGGAGGAAGAATTATGCTACTGTGTCTATACAAAGGCCTGTTACCTGCTTGTTGCAAAACCAGGTGCCTTTTAAAAATATATATTGCTGAATTCAGATTTGGCAAGAGTAAAATTGATATTCTCATCCAGCCACCATCAATGGGACAGATTCCAATAGTGTTACTGATATGTTTTTGATAGTCTATTACTTCTGCAGGGCTATTGTTTGGAGCATTTACTGCTCAGTATAAGTAAGGTTATCCAGAACCTAAACCCTTTATTAGTTATTCACCTACTAGATTTTGTAAATGGCCATCCTTAAAACTGCCAAAAGTATACGCAAAAGTAAATATCTATGAAGAGTTATAAGTGTAATGCTGCCAAGCACTGGCATACAGGCTTCACTTCCTATTCAGGATTTAACATTTGTAATATCTGCTTAACTTTAAACACATGCTTAAGTCTCAACAAAATTAGTAAGCATCAAATGCCATACCTTGAATAGATGCTTCTGTCCAGCAAGTCCCTTGGATCAGAGCTCTAACATTTACCAAAACAAGTTAATTCTTATCGACTCACCAGAAAAAAAAAAAAAATTAATCCCTTCAATACTTTTTCATGCAAATTTTAATTACTTTTTCAATGTCAAACCTTTAATTAGGCCATTGCTAGGAAGCAGGGTGCACAGGCCATTAGCAATGCAGTCACAGAACAAAACCCTATTAAGAAAATAACACTTTCACTTCAGTAGACTCAGAAATATTCCAATGTAGTTAATCTGACTCTCAATATTCTAAATAAAAGCAAGGAGATACAGTAACAGCACTGAGTTCTGGATGCCCTCGATGACTGTTCATCAGAGCTGTAATTTCTACATTTATGCTACAGTAAAATTGTACAGAAATGCCAGAGAGAGTCTAAGATTACTGCAAAGAAGATAGAATATTATTTCATTTTTGCTATTGTTATGAAATTTCTGTCAGAAGAAGCACTTTCTTCATTTGCCTCCACTGCAAGGAAACAAACTTTTCTCCATTTTGATACTAGCAGAACCATGAACCTGCAGTACTGAAACACTGAACAAGCAGATGAACCACTTTAACAATCGCTTACTTGAATTACCAAGTTGATAGGCAATGAACTGGACTTTTCCAATGCACACAGTAGTTTGTAGTACCCAGAAATAACTCTAATCAGTATTATAAGCAGTGCTATACTCTTGGGTATTGGGAAATGCTATCCTCTTACCTGTTTCTTCAGACACACTTGTGCTGTCTGCAGGGTTCAAGTTGACTGAAGAGAATTCAAGCAATAAACACCATCATAAGGGTATAGCAAAGCAAAAAAGATGGAAAGGAGAACAATGATTAAAAGAGAAAAATATCATTACATTCAAGTTATAAAAGGCTGAACAGAAAACAGATTTTACAATAAGTGGAAAAGCAAGAAAGTTATAGCTAGAGATTAAAAAAGTACAGTGCCTAGACCTTGATGATTCAGAGAGTTTACTTGAAAAGCCTGAATTGCAACAGAAGCTCCTCCATTTGTATCAGTAATGGAACAATAACCAAGCCTCTGGGCAAAATATGAGAGCAAGGCACATCAGAGCTGAAGTGCAAGACATGAAAATTTTGTGCTCAAATGTTTTTATCTGAGGAGGTTATTGTAAACAGTTTTATTTTAGGAACTGTCCTCTGAGAAGCTACTACACAGAAATGCACACAAAAGAAAGCAAGATGCTCCTCTCTATTTGAACTTCGCTTTAAGAGAAAAAAATGCTGTGTGCTATTTATAAAGAGTCAGAGAGCCAACAGCTCTTACAGCGTACTTTAAAAAATCCAAAATAAACAACTGATGCTCCTACAAAACTTATGAAGAGCTGCAGAGTCTCTCACTGTAAAGTTTTCAGTACAAGCCATGAGAGTTCATTTTTGCTTTACACTTTCAAAAATACAGACGAGTTCAATTCCAGTTTTAATACCCATGGTCAAACAAGTCTGTGAATCTCATGCACAAGAATTAAGAGTCTCCATGCATCTTCTATCTCTTCAATCAGCAATAAAATGCACCTTAATTGTTTTGGATATTAATAATACTATTTAAAATGGCACTGTCAAAATTGTCAAGTGGCAGAAGTGCAGACGCTAGACAACAGGGTGCAGTGAATTTTCTGGGCAACGAGTATTGACAATTTTAGGAATATTAAATTCCACAAGCATCAGTGCTCTGCTGTGACTTTGAGGCTAGCTGGAACAATGAACCAGCTCATGCTAAAGATGACAATACAGAACATTAATCCAAGTTCATCTTAGCTGTTTATGCGACTCCAGTGCAGAAGTTGCTCATGCTCTGCTCTGATATCTGGGAATCATCCTGAACCTACAGCACTAACAGAAGATAAACTCTATTTATTTAACAACCATTTTAACTTCACAAAACGCATTTCTAGAGTCCCACTCCCCTCTGATTTCCACCTGAGAGCAACTCACCTAATGAGGTACTGGAATGGACAGTGTGAGCTAAGGCATAGGCCCAGGGACATGCTTTCTCTAACGTAGCAGCTGTATGTTTCTCCTCTTGCCTTCAACAGGTTATTTGACCATGCTGAAACGCACCACAGTAAAAACAGTGTTTGCAGATTTATCTTTCCCACCACAGCATTTAATAATTCTTTTTTCCTACCATAAAGGCCTGTAAAAATTTTCCACCAGCCACTTCCCCCTTCCCCTCAGATGCTTTAACTCTAGCTTCTTGGTTTAGTCCAGGGAAGTCCAGAAAATAAAGAAGGAGCTGAACAACATCACCCCCAAACATTAACATGCTGAAAAATCACATTAGACTAAGGAAAAGCTTCAGACTCCTTCCTTCTGAATGGGCACTGGAAGCAGTGGGCACAGGCCAGTGGGCACAATCCAGCTCACCCCACCAGCACTGCAGCTGCCACCACAGCCGCCATGCAGGGCTATGTGGTGGGGGAGAGCCACGATGGCAGGGCTGCCCCCCCCTCAAACATCCCATGGGCATCATGGTGAAGATCTCACTGCTGGCAGGAACCCTCTGGGGAGCACGTGCCAGAGGAAGCTTGTTAATGTGTTGCACAAACAGCACTCAAGCTTTTCCTCTCATGTGAGATAAACAGCCACAGGAAAACAACCTGCGCAGAATGCAACCTGAGGGGCAGCTCACGCTCACAGCACATGCCTTTTGTAAAGCACACGGCAGCACTGCTGATGCTCACAGGTATGAGCGCGGCTGCCCTACCTCCACCCCGCCAAGCCCTCAGCACAGCAGCTGGAGCAGGCTGCCCCCTCCACACGAGGCCTCAGCAGAAGCCCAGCTGCCCTCAAGTACCACAACCCCGCCGTGGCCACCACAAATCGCACTCCTCAGCCCGCGCCTTTCTGGCCACGTTCTCCCCGGCATGCCCCATGCCCAGAGGGGCCCCATCAGCCCGCCCCACCCCTCTTTGCCGGCAGGGTCGGGTGCAGCAGCTGAGGTGATGTCGGCTGGGGCTACGGCCTTTGGCCGGGAGAACCCGGCTGAGGCGGGTGGCAGGGAAGGGTCGCCTTTAGCCATTACCATCGATTGCAGGTCCTGTCTCCGCTCTGCGTTTTCTTCACATCCCCCTTGCAGTCCTTAATAGGCTCTGTTGTCCTCTAAAGACATTTCCCTTAGCCTGTTGGCACCCTTCTGGTTCTAAGAAACCCAGGAAAAGTAGCAAGCTGAAGGGAGTTAAAAGCAAGCAAAGAGCCCAGTCGTGCTGTCCTAAAGGCTAAATAAAGAAAAACAGCCTGACACATAGCAAAATATACTGATGCATAGCAATTTCCTCCTAACTCCAGAGTTCCGGCTACCTTCCTGTGTTCCTGACTTTAAACGAGTCCTCAAGCACCACTAGTGACGGCCCTGACCCTTACCTGTTATTGAACAAACAGCCCTCATCCCCAGACCAGACCAAAAAGTGAGCATAAACAGGTATATGTTGATCTAAACTGCAGGCCCCAATGTACTCGTTATTTTCTCAACAAGGATAAGAAGATTCCAGTAGCTACAGCTTCCCTTGGAGAGGTCTCCTCTGTCTACTTACCTGCTGCTTACGGAATAGCACTCTGCAGAGGGTTTGCTGACCCCAAATATGAACCGAGATTTAATGACACCATCAAGCTAACCTTGCTGATGTCCCGGGGGGATGATGGTGTTCTGCCCTTGACAGTTCTCCTCACAGAAACGTCTCAGTTGCTCTATAGGAGACAGCAATAAATTCAGTGACATACTCAGAATGTACAGATCCTGAACCAAGTGTAATTTCACTGACATGCATGAAGTTACATCAGAACTGATTCACCCCAGTAAGTTAAGACTTCTGCTGTCTGCATCCTCATTGCCCTTGAAAAGCATGCGCACCGTCAGCCCACAAGGACAGAGTCATTGCTTGCTCAAACTCAAGCCCCAGAATGGGCTCCCATGGTCCCAAGCTCACCTGGTCCCTCGGGAGGTTGTAAATGCTGTGTTGAGGGGCTCACTGCACCACAATGGTATGTCCAGATAGGCTAGGCAAAGCCTCCGTCCTGCCACAGGAAGGCAGCGAACACATTTCCACTGTTCCTGAATACAAGCTGTGAAAAAGTAGCCTCTGGATTGGATCTGGGGGCTCTCATGTCACATAAAGTAGGAATTAGTGACCCAAAGGACCCAAGTTGTTTTGGTGGGAACACTTCCCTAAATGACCGATTTTTTATTATTTTTTTTTTTTAGGAGGAAGGAGATTGACTTTCCAAAAGCTCTTTTCTCGTTGGTGCTAAGGCAGTGTGCCCTTGGCTTCTTGTGATCATGGGACATTCAGCAGTAAGCACTCTCTGAGTTTCATTGATATTTTCAAGGGTAGGAGAGAACTTCACTCTGTTCGAGTACCACTCTGCCAAAGATTAAAAGCTTATGAGGGTGCCAATTATATAACCTGACTGAGCTGCATTGTCAGTGAAGAGCTTTGCAGGATGCATTCTGGCTTCACGGGATGGAAATTCAGCTTTTATTCAAGTAGTCTGATTTGGTGATTTTACTGTTTAATCCATGTAGCTGCTGTGATCAGTCAGAAGCAGTAACTGAAAGGGAAGCTGCTCAAATTAATTCTACCACGATTTTACTGTGTTGATGCTCCTGTATCTCTTGGGTAGCGTGCCAGAAAGACCATTTCAAGACAAGACTTGATGCATGCTGCACTGGAGACAACATATGCTTACACTGTGTGACAGAGCCCAAAGCTGAGATGTTGGACAGGACCCAAGTAGGTTCCCACAGTGCAGTGGGCACTTCAGATCTGGCCTGGAAGTTGCATAGCCACATTCATGCTGAATTATATGCAGATCAGTAAAACCTGTCTCCTAGCTTATTACTGTAGGCCCTGTACCAAGTCATATACAACCATACTGTAAGCTGACCGTGTCAGTTTAAGAGACCATTTCTTCTCTTCCTGATCCGTGGATACATGGACTGTATTAGACTGCCTTAGGTTGCCAGGCCTTTGGGACAGGGACAGTCCTTTGCTTACAGGTCTGGGTGATACCTTCCATCTTGTGGTCTCACTCTTGAACAGTGAGTTGCAAAGTGCTCCTGCAGTAACAACAGCTCCTCCTTCTGTAGCAGGAGGACAGAGCAATAAAACTGCTGCTTTTATAGGAACAGAGAAAAACTATCAGCAAAATGTATCTGAAGGAAAACCAATGCTGAGCTTATTAGCCAAGTTGCATACAAGCTTAAAAATATATCACTCTAGATCTGGAAATTTATGTTCAAAGCCACAAATTCAGAGTTAATTTATTATACAGTAGATTTCCAGCTCCACTGAGCTTAATGGGATTTGTTATTCTGTTAAATGGGCTTTTCCCTCAGAGCACCTTGTTTCATTAGACCATTTAACAGAGCTTTTCGTGAATAAGGTGTGTAAACACAACACAGCCACACCAGCTGGCCCTTTGTTTTGCACACTGAAGTGCTAATTCCTCTTACTGGCTGTGAGTGCACATGTACTGCACTCCGTGCATGAGCGTATGCATGTACTATGGTCATGGAGGCAAGGGAAGGTGGTGGGATTTCTCTTACCCGAAAGCCAAAGAGGAACTGCAGGGAATTTCACAGATCCCTGAGAGAAGGCTTTGACTTGCTAATGGTCTCCAGTATGTTTACAGCTCAAATTTGGAACCACCTTCCTTGCACTAACAGAGTCAACAACAGGTTCTACAAGAGCCAGTTAGCACTTTGGGACTTGACAATGTATACAGAACTGTCTGTAATTAATAACACTTAGATCTGTAGCAGGACTATGTGGACCTGACAAAATCAAGGCCTCAAGACTCCCTCTGTTTCCTGTAAAGTGTCTAAAACGTAAGCGTCAACACAGAAAAAGAAAACACAATGAAGGCAAAAGATCAAGCTCCCATTTCCTGCGAGTGAAACCACAGCATGGAAGCAGCACATGACCCTGGCAACAAACCCAGGAGTGAACCCAAGCTCTGCTTTTTCATTCAGCACCTGAATAAAACTCCTGTTCTGATGGTCCCACCCCAGTGTGCCCAAATTACATGCTGGCCTTCTCAATGTCTGTCTCTCTGATGAGAAAAGAGATCCTTCTATTCCAGGGCTAATCAGAATGTTAATTTTCTATCTACTTCAATTTTTCAAAATGAGAGTTCTTTGCCATTCTGACCAGCAAGTTGACAGTAAATGCTATAACCCTTAGTCAAGCAATACATCCATTAAGGAAACATTTTGCACCTTTTTTTGCTACAGTCTTATACTGCACAACTGACTGACCTCCACATCATTACAATCATTTAATTTTCAGATACAAGATTGTGATGTTTACCAAGGAAAACTTCAAAGCAATTTCAGCAGCTATTAGGCATTGTCAGTGAAACTCCATTTATGGTGAAGAACAAAATAAACCCCACAAAAATGTCAAGGCAAACAAGAAAGTCAATGTCTCAATTCCTGACAATAACAACAAATCTAGTGTGAAATGGCATGAGTTTTCCCCGGATATCCATTTTGTAACTTGTACAGAATAGACATCTTGTTGAAAATAAAATTAATGTACAGAGCAAGGACTGCACAAATTAATAAAAGCTGTGGCACTTGAAATGGTTTCTTTCTCTGTTGCTTTCATTTGTGTATGTATTCATGACTGTGTGTAAATCTAAATATATTCCCAAGCCTGAGGGCAATGTTGATTCAGAAAGGCAGAACACAAATTAAAGAGTCAATGAGCTGTTGAAATAAACGACAAAACTCTCTTGACTTCAGCAGAGACAGAATTTTGCCCCAGATGTTTGGGCCAAACTTATCAACAGCCAGAAGGCAGTAAATTTGATCTCTGAAATCCAGTGAATAGAAGGAGGAAAATGGTCTCCAGACTGTTCATCTGGTCTGTAAAAGTTTCCTGAAAATGTATCAGACAATGCTCAAACTTGCTTTCCTACCCCCACCTTGTCGTACATCTGGTGACACCTCTTTCTCCACTACCTCAGGGATGGTGTAAGCTCCTTAAGTAGATGTGTCAATCTAGAGTTAGGTGGAGTAATTACAAAGCTTCATGTGACATAGGCCAAATCAGAATTTACCTTCAAGATGTGACAAATGACCCCATGCTTACTTTGTGTTAAGAGCATGCAGTGGGAGGACTAGTGCAGACGAGCTCATGTGGTATATACATCCACCCATGGCACCATGTATTGTGCTATATACACAAGGCTATACTGGTTACGACTACTCCATCCTTGAATTTTCTCATCTTCTCACACTTACCCTTACAGCTGCCATCCTGAGATATAGAGAAGAAGCATGGTCTCACATTTCCAGATGGAGGCACTGAAAAAAACGGAGACCATAATTCAACCTTTTTAATGTATTAAAACTGGTTTCAGAGCCTGTGTTAGAGAGAACATAAATTTCATGAAGTGTGCAATGAAGCCTGCCAAGATATCTGTTGATCTCCCTTGGTGGCCCACCAACGCCTGCATGACAATGGTGTCCTTGCAGTTTATTTCACTCTAGCTGCTCTGGACCATGCACTGAAGAGCAATCTGGACATCACTGTCAGCTCCCTCAGAGACCAAGAAGCCTGGACAATTTCACTGATGTTGCCTGTGCATATTGTTAAAGGACTGTGGAAGATGTCCTTGGAGGTCTCAGGCATTGCCCTGACTCTCAGGTTTTGACCACCCCAAGTAACCTAACCACAGACTGACCACGGAGGGAGGCTGTGAGGCTGCACAGGAACAGCCATTCTCTTGAACCTGGCTATGGGTTCCTGAAGCATCCTGGAGGATGGGGACAGCATGGCATCAGCTCCTCAGAAACCCTAAATGCCCTTGCATTTCTGGATTTGCACCCACTGCCGGTGATCCAGTGGTCCCTGGGCAAGCTTGTCTACTGCACCCAGACCAAGGGGTTGGCTGACTGCATCGGGAAAATGAGGTGCAGCAGGACAGGCACTGGTTCCAGCAGGTTGCCTGATCCTACAAATGAACCTTCTTTCTATTGGCATGAGCACAGATCTTCTCTCTTCTTGTTATGGTGATAAAAAGCAGCACTAATACCCAACAACTACCAGACAGGTAGAATTTAACACCATCATTATAATAACAACAGTCTTCAAGCAGAGTGGAAGTCACAGCAGAAGAAAGCACCAGCTTAAGGTGGAATGATGCATGCCTGGGACAACCCCTACTGCTCTCATTTTTGTGGTATTTATGTTTCATTACCTAGTAGTTCAGAGTGCCTCTGGGAGTAAATCCCTCCTGGATGAATCCCAAGGTCACTTCCATAGCTGCAGGTTGGAGAAATGCACTGAAGCCTGGCCAGCTGATAATCTTTTGCCTTGCTTATGCCAACTGAATCCTTTCTTTTCTTGGACAAACTTATCTGGGAGCTAGCTAGACTGCAGGCCTCTGTTAAATAATGATGATTATGTTCTTTTTGCTCAATGCTGACAAAGAATTATAGCTCCTCATTTAGAGCTCATTTCAAAACCATGAGATTCTGTAATTGAAAGTGGCTGAAGCTAATTTGATAACCCAGTTCTGAAGACAGCCGACTAACTACTTTCCCTTTGTCCTTTCAGCAGTAATGGCCTTGTCAGGAAAGTCTTCTGTGCTACTTTTAAGAGGGCAGTTATGATGGAGGTTGAAAACTATTGTTCCGTGACAGGCTGCAATTGCAACATTGCCTTCAAGTTCCCAGCAAGGCCAGGGGCATGGCAGGAGGTTCAAATGCCTTCCAGCCGCAACTGCTATCTAAAATACCCAAGTGCTCACTCTCTTGAGGCTCTGGCTATTGCACTCACCAAGGTGCAGAGCTCTGACCTGGAGAGCATCTGACACTTCCCCAGTTGATGAGGATATTTGTTGGATTCCCCCAGGACGGGACAGAGAAAGGTGTTTCTGTGCCCATATAATGCCTGGCAGCTCCCTCAGAGCTGCCACACTCTATGTCACACGAGACAGAGTGGTCACACTGGACCACTGACTAAATCCCACATCAGGACACCCTGAAGGCTCCTCCTCACTTAGTGCTGCCATTAGCTGCTGTACTGGGAGGCTACTGGTTAGATACAGCAAATCCCCTTCTTGTGCTTAAGCCGTGCATTAAATTTCTACAGCACAGACAGGAAGGAGAGGAGCTCTGTTTACCCCAGTGGACAGCCTAGAGCAGGGACACATGCCCACACACTGCTGACTGCACTGGCAAAATACCTTCAGTAAGGAACACACGCCAGCAGGATTCCCTGGCAATGCTTGCTGCCCTGAGAAAGGTCAAAGCAGCCTAAACAGGCAATACAACAAAAGACGGAAGAGAAAGCCTAAATGCAATGTCTGCCTAGTGCTCTATCTGCCAAACTGCTGTCTCTGCTTTGCTCTTGTGATTAACAGCCCTGATCCCTGAACACATTTACCCCGCTACAAGCAGTAGTGCAAGAAGCCCCTTTTACTCTGATTCTTGTCTGTAGCCTGTTCGCATCTGCATCTCCGAGTGCAGTGGGCTCAGGAGATGAGTCTCCTTATGCCTCCTTTGCAGTGATCACCGAGGGAAACCTGCCCATTACAGGATGTGCATCTTTGGTATCTAAGTAAATATTTCCAGGTGTACTGTGGATTCTGGGCCTTCCCCCTGGTAAACGGAGGAAATGTAAATAACGCAGCAAACATTTCTCTTGCCATAGCCTAGAGCTGTGCTCAGAACTGCTCTAGCTGTTGTAGTAATTAGCATAAGCAAATTGCTAAATTGTGTGCTGTGATAAAATGATGGATTACAGCATGGAAGAAATCATTAACACATTGATTAGCAGCACATGCCTTCAAAATCACTATCTAAGCAAATTCTGAGGATTGTGGGGGCTTTGTAAATGTTACAAGCACTGCCTTCCATAAGCAAGAATCAGGAAATGCTAATGTATAAATTGCCAAAGTACCACCATCAAATTCTAACTATTAAAGTTGGTTCTCAAATGGTTTCTAATATTTACTGCAGGCTGTTCACATGGGGCTCCTGTTCTGTGTCTCCCAGTACTCAGAGGGAAATGGCTGTAACAGTGTCTGTCCAAGGCAGCATCTGACACTGGGAGCTTCTCCAGGTTTCCTGGTGCATGTCCCCCTGTATCTCTGCCTCTGCTGCATGTATTTTAAGCATTGCACAGCAGTGGATGGTGCAATGGTGTGGTCATACCACACAATGTATACCTCCTAGCAGAGCAAAAAGATCATTTATGTACAGCATGATAATACCATTGTAATTTTTTTGCAGAATAGTTTTGTTTTGAATGTAGTGGGAATCTCATTTTCTTCTGCTTTATTAAAGGAAATGTTTCCCTACACTTGCATATTGAAAGAAAAAAGTCTGTGTGGTTCACTGGCAGCATCTGCTGCTAGGTATTCCCTTATGGTGGCTTTAATAATCAAAATCAGCCTGTTATTGCCAGAGCTAATAGAAGTAGCTCTGGCAATAACTTCTTATTCAGCACAAGTACTCTGCAGTTTATAAAATTACTCATTTGAATGGGTTTCCTTTTATTAGGATTAGCAGGCCCCTCTACGCCTCCCCCACCTCTTATTTCAAATGAAACACACATATTGAATTTTAATACATCACTGTTACAAAAACGTGTGTGTCAATAATGGCTAGCTGCTGTGCAACAGGAATACAGGAACCCCCCCCCCACCACCATAGCTCTGTGTCAGCACATATACCTAATCCCAGAGGATTCCCAAATTCATTATCAGCAGAACATAAAATCAATACAAGGCTGTGATTTCACTTATTGACTTGGGTACTGCCATGGTAAGGAAGATTATACCTGTAGGTGCTTACTGCCAGAAAGTATGAACACTCACAACCACCGATGGTGGAGAGGATAAATCCATGTGCAGGGACACCAGAGGCTCTGTCTGGGTTGCAGAAATGCTCAGCTAAGTCCTTCCCTGCCTTTAACCATACTCAGAACTCAACTGGTGCAGTTCAGAGAACAACCCCACCTGAAAGAGATCTGGTTATCACAGCTTGGACCTCCAGAGGTCCCCCCTTTGCTCCAGTGCATCCCCCTGCCTGTGTCTTCTGGCATTTCCAGCACTTCTCTCTCTATGTATGCAGAACGCTCCTGCACCTTCTTGTGTTTTTCCTTTATTTCTGACACCATTCTGCCTTCTAAAATGTGTTGGTCTCTCCTATCAGCCATTTGCCCAGTAGGACCCGAGGTTTAGCTATTCTGATTTTACAGATCCCACAGCACACAGGTCATTAAACCTGTTTTGGGTCCTACAGTGGACTGGATGGGAAAAGATAGTATCTGAGAAATGTTTGCATTTGTTTTGCCAGAGGTAAATATCAGGGATTCCCTCTGTTTCACTGTGAGATTAAATTATGGACATGGAAATTAGTGACCAGTGATTTCATGGCCTGCATCCGTAAACGAAAGAGAGTTTCACTAAGAAGGTAATTTATTTCACTTAATTAAACCCACTGATTTGCAGTCTGGATCCATTCAATAAAATGCCTTTTAAATAAATAAAAGAATACCTTTTGAAATGGAAAGATTTGCAGATATGATCTTCAGTTCCTGCTGCAAGGCAGTTCTTGGAAATCAGAGGCAAAGCACTCTTCTCCAAGGAGAGTCCATTTTATGAGTGCTTCGTGGCTTACTGAACTGCTTACTGCTTCTCTCCCAAGATCTACCATCTAATTGGAATGCCTTTTTTAATTTTTTTTACTAATTAGGCAATTTTATACATAGTTCTAAAAGCACCTCTCAGGACAGCATTAATTTTAATAGCATCTTAAAATGACGAATTCAAGATATGCCACTAAGTGAATATATGTAGTTAATAGATTTTCTTCTTGCTGCACTTGCTTGGCACTGCATTTGTCACAGCAGTGTCCTGTTTTGGCACCATTCTCATCCATTCCTTGTCCACTGATTTTTATAATCACAACATATCATTCACTAGCAGGATAATTTCTGCATTACCATACAGGCAATGTCACATACTTAACAAACTCTTCATAAACATTTACATCAGGAGCTGTCTGTGTTAGACATCAAATGTTCTCTTCTGGAGGAGTCTGCAGTTTCACCTACTGTTATGGTAAATCATCTCCCAGAAACAGCCTCAGAAATATCCTGCACAAATTTAAGTGTCATAACTTCCACAAACAGCCTTCACATAACCAGACACAGAAAACTGTCCAGATTCTTCATCAGCAATAAGGAACCTGCAGGCTGCAGACAATGCTGATGAATACAGCAGCCAGCCCCTCCACTAGATTGCACCTCTCAGACCAGCCAGACTAATAGCATGAGTCTAATAGCATGAGTC